GAGGGGGAGGGGGAAGGGATGTGCATGGGTCGCTCAACAACGCTATGTACCCTTGCAGGTGCCGATCGTCGTCCGCACGTGCGTCGCCCCATGTCTCATTGCACGCGGACTCGGCGGCGGCCGGAGGCGATCGCTCGAACCCGGGACCCTCCCGCCTCTCGTTTCGAGCGCGGCGCCATCTGGCGAGCGGCGGCCGAAGCCGTCGACGCTGCACGCGCTGCCGCCGAGCGCAGAGTCCGGGGTCATAGTTCGCGACCCCTGCACGACCTCTCCTTCCACGCTCTGCAGCGAGTCGACGCGGCCGCGCAACTCGGGACTGGTGCCTGCTCGCCTAGCGGATGTGGTGGCGAATCGACGCGGCCGCGCAGCGCGGGACTGGTGCCGCCATCTGGCGGACGCAACGGCGGCGAATCGACGCAGCTGCGGGGAGCGGGACTGGTGCCGCCATCTGGCGGCGGGTGCGGCAGCTTGCGCATCGTGATCTTGGTGAGCACGAGGAAGGAGCGAGATCGCGGCCGCGCGCACGCGCCGCCCTCGCCGATTCGAACCTTCGTCATCACCGACTGCGAGTGCGCAGTGGCGCCCCCTTCCGGCGGCGGCCCGCGGCGACGCGCAAGCCTCGGACTGAAGTAGACCGCGCGCCGCGCGCGCGATTGTTCGCCGCTAGAGGCCGCCACGAGGTTCCCCTCGCTGCACGACGCCGCCGTGGGCCCGCGTCGCTGCCCAGCAGGGGGCGCCGGCGCGAGGACGTCGAACGACGCCGCGCGTGACACGTCGCCGCCGCCCGCCGCCGCGGCGTCGCAGCTGCCGAATTTAATCGAGCTTACGCGAGCAAGGGTTTCTTTTCCTGTTGCCAAAACCCAGAAAGAAAGAAAGAAAGAAAGAAAGAGAGAGAGAGAGTTACTACAGGACAGCGCCGAACGAAAGCAACTAGAAAGGATGGCGGGAAGGACGTGTGGCAGTGCGCACACGACGATTCGATCAACGATTCGATAACGGCGTCAATTCGATTATCAATTCAATAATGGCGTTGATTCGATTATCGACGGACAAATAGCGCCGATTATTAATATTATCGCCGGC